GGGGGGGAGGAGTACTCATGTAAACGCATGCCCTAGCCGTTGGACCATTGCCCTACTTAGGTCTATGCCAACACCGGTGCGACCGTCGTCACCGTCACCCCCACGAGTTGTGGGCCAGTCATTCGCTCGGCGACAAGCTAAGGCTACGATGGGAAAGCATGCGTGCATCTATCCCCCCGCAGTTGGCTCATGCTTCGCGGAGTTCTTCTGCTGGCTTGGGTATGTGTGGATCTTGTTGATTTTGGTGGCCCTGCAGGGAAGGAAGATCCTTGGGGCGATTTTTTCGGTGGTTATAGTATCTCGTTTGCTGTGGGGCGATGGATGGGGTATTGGATAGTGCGTGTGGTGCGCCAAGCAGGTCTTGGGGTTCAAGATTTTATGTATGGAACGTGCTTACACGAGTCAACGGAAAGCATGAGAGAGAGGATAGCATTTGTTGTTTTTCTTGGACCGCCCCGTACAGCATGAAAGCCAGGTCGGCGCGTTAGTCGACCAGCACTGATCTGCTTTGGTGAGGTGTTTTTTTTTCATGTTGCGGCGATAGGGTCTCTTTTTGGACGAGGGGAACGGGCGGGTGAGAGATGCTGACTCGCAAAGCCTACACTTGAAGGTTGACATTGCCTTTGTACGAGATGCATGTTTTTCTAGATGATACGTTCTCGCCGTGATTGCGACTCTCGCGTTGTTTCCGTCGCCTCTCTCATGTTCTATTGGGGGGACAAAAATATTACCATATGTATGTTGTGTATGATTTATGAAGGATGAAGAACGCCGATTTCAGGCGTCCTACGTGGATGGAGAGAGTATCGGGCAATGTGTTTCGCGAAAGAGAGAAGAAGGTGTGAGAAGGAAAAGAGTGGTCCGTAAGGAAGAGGGGCCCATGACCGCAAACCGCGGGCAGGGTTTGTCAGTTGTTGCCCCCCTCGCGCACGCCCCCCGGTTATTATGCTGTCTGTGCAGTGCGTGCCTGACGCCCCTTACAGCTCCTGCTGTGGTTGCGTTT